TATGCAAGGAATATGAGTGTGAACGATATACAGAAAACCAAGTTGCGAAATCACACAGATGTCCAGGTAGTCGTATCCAAGCAGAGAGTACAAAATGCACCGAGAAACCATCCATATAGAGCAATACAATGAAGTAATGAGCCAATGTTCAAGCCCGTAGGCCACACCCCCACAGTGTCCAAAGTCTCCTCTCTGTCTGGCGCCCAGCGCCCAGCCTAATCTACCCGACTATCGTACCTGCATCTGGTTCACGCAACAGGCTCACTTCAACTCTCGAAGACCAATGTACATGACTGTCAACACCATAGCCGACCTCTCTTCATGCACCAGGTACGTATCTCGTCACCCTCAATCAGACCTTGATTACCCCACACTCGCCTCGTTCCCTGAAGACCACCCGATCGCCCGCATTACCCCCTGGCGCCCAGCAGCCCGGCTATGGCTGCCTGCCCCCCGCTGCCCTGCAGCACCCCACCTCACCATTACGCGCCCCGTCAGCGCCCTTGGCAGCAGCGCAGCATCACGCGATAGCGCAGCAGCACTTCCGCATTGCCTGCACTGGCCAGAATGCCTGGCCTGGGCTGCCTCACTTCTTTTATGGAAGTGGCAGCGTCCTGGATGATGTGTGTGGCCTGGCTGGAAGCTTCCAGTAGCTTCCGGTTGGGCCTCAGACCCTGCGCCCAGGCCCGAGACTACAGTTGAGGGCCTGGGCCCTTTTCAGTTGGTACGGCCTGAGTCTCCGGACTTGGGCTGTTTGCTGCATCTGTGCAGGGCTCCCAGGCAGGTGCATCGTCAGTACTGCTTTTCCAAAGGCCGATGGCCTGCTTCCCAATGTATCGGCCCTGCTTTGTGTGTATGTGCCCAGGCGCAACTGTCAAGGCCTGGGCCAACTGTATGACGCAGCGTAGTGAGGCTCACGCGTTCTACCCAACCAACTGGTGTGCTGCGAGAGCCTGAATACCCACAAATGGAAATGTCGAATTTTGGCCTCTGACGAATATTCAGGCTGCCTTCACTTAGGGCGGGCACTCGGCTTGCTGGGGGGCTTAGCCCAGAACATGTGATGTCTGATAGTGCCCCTTGAGGGCTTGTTCCTCACATTCCATCCCCTTTAGCTTGGAAAGTCCGCTGAGATGCTTCATGCTGGTGCCTTCCCTTTCAGTTTCTTCTCATAATCCGCCACGATCTGAGGAGCTGTCTTGACAAGTTCCTCCCTTGAAATCCATCGATCTTCCTTAGGATCAGTATGATGCCTGAAATGTACTCTGTATTCCCTTGCAGGTTTAGGAGGTCTTCCCCTGCCAGGTGGCTTGGGAACAGGCATGTCTCTGTGATCCAGTATGTCATCGACGTCCACGTGGCCATCCATGGTTCGGGGCAGCATAGATCTCCGTGATGGGAACTGTGCTGTCTCAGCAAAAGGTGCAAGCTTGGAGGCGTGAAAAACAGGGTAAGTGCGTAGGTGACCAGGGATACGAATGACGTACGAGGGACCATCCAAATCATTCTCCACATCCGAGAAAGCCTATCGTCTCCACGTAGTGGAACACCAATGACGTCGGTCACCTCAGGTCCTCCATTACAACCGAGCAGAGGTGGCTCTCCTGGGCATATCCAACAAGTCTGGGCTGATGACAGAGGGGGGGTGGACGTCCACACGGCAACAGCGGCAACAACTGTGAGGGCTTCCATGACCTGGATGGAGTTACGTAAACTGCCAGTTCACCAGAAGCGGAAAGGGGCTTTTACCGGTACTATATGCGGCAAGAGCTTTTCAATCCGAGCCCGGGCCGGCAGTGAACGCCGCAGGCCACATTAAAAAGGCGCACTCTCAGACTCACTAGCCTTGAAAGATGGCTTACAGAGCATACATACCTCAGGCCTGGATGCAGTTACCATCCTGGAACCAACGCAACTGGGGACTTCTCGTAACTCGATGTAAGCCGCTCGGGGGTTGGGAGTAAGACCGGAAAAAGGAAAAAGATCAGATTGCTAGACTCAGCTAGGGACTGGCACGAGAGGCCAGTCAGGGGTCGGGTTGCTGAGAAAATGGAACTAAAGAACACAGGCATGTGTGTGTGTGTGTGTGTGTGTGTGTGTGTGTGTGTGTGTGTGTGTGTGTGTGTGTGTGTGTGTGTGTGTGCAGGTTTGGATCCGTTAAACGACCACTACCTTTCACAGGCCACATAGAAACACCAAAGTGTTGCATTCCGCAAACTTTGGAGGCTGGCCTGGCCGGGCGCTACTGGACCAAAATGGCTGGCAGCACCAGCCAAAAGAAAGAAAAAAGGTCAAGCTGGGCCAAAGATTGGCGCGCAGTTCTTTTCCACCTCAGCAAAGAGAGGCTCAGAGGTGGTGGTGGTGGTGGTTTAAAGTTTAAACACACCTCCACAAAAAAAGGGGTGACTGCGACTTTTGCTTTTCGTCAGACTTTCGCCAATTTATCGGGCTTGAAGTTTGAACCTCGACACTGTGCCCTGGATCCCATTTGGCTGATAGATAAGGACTTTTACCAGCTTGAGTAAAGTGAACGATACCTTCAATGTGTGTGTGTGTGTGTGTGTGTGTGTGTGTGGTGGGAGACCAGACCACCACGATGAGCTGTGTTTATAAGGGATTATGTCATATACCAAACATTCAACGCAACAAACAGCACAACCTCCGCATTCCAACCATGAGAAAGCAAGAGAATATGAATATAGCAGCCACAATCTTTCACCAATTCTAAACGGCACAAGGGCTAGAACCAGGAGTCGCTAGGCCACAAGACAGCAACGGAAAAAGGAAAAGTCAACGAGCCAAACGCAGCAGGGCAAAGGCCGCAATGCAAAAAAGCAG